GTGCGTATGTACACAGTCTAAATGGTTTTTCTCTGTATTTTAAGGAGAGTTAAAAGCCTGAAATAATTCAAATGAGATCATTTGAATGCAACTGTGCTTTTTAATACATGTTGGTAAATTAAATTTTTTTTCAGTATTTTGATTTCAGAAATACCTTATCCTCTTTTCTGATTAATTTTCACTTAATTTTTGCAATCTTGAGTATTAAATTTCTTGACTTACTTTTCTCCCTCATTACCTCCCTGTTGAGATAAAAATCTGTAAAGTATTTGACAACATTAGGAGAACTCCTTATTTCTAGGAATTCTTAGGTGAATTTCTAGGTGAAATTCTTAGGTGCATTCCTAGAAATAAGGGGTATTTTAATAACTCAGATGAATTTCAGACACATTCTCTAATTTTTCTATAACTCTGGGGTCTCTGTTTCTTTATCTGTAAAATAAGCAAAATACTTGAGCATTTCCAAAGATGGAGGGTAGGATAAATAAATAAATATGTATGAAGAGTTTACCTTAGAGACCCTAAAAAAAGTGGTAGCAGGGCTTTTTCCCAAGAAAAATGTTAAAAATATTTTTCTCCAAAGTAAGTGGTTAATTTGTTTAAAAAGTTCACATTTCTTTCCTATCCCACTACTTTGTTTTTCCTTAGAAGGGTAGTACACAATGGTAGAATTTCTTCCAAGATGGCATGTGGTTAAAAAAAAAATCTAGAGAAAAATCAAATGAATTCAAGAAATATCCTATCTGCTTTCTGCAGGCAGATTCCAGGGAAATTTATTTGGGCCTAGGCAGAATAGTCTAAGAGGAACTTTGACTCCTGTGTCTATAATTGAAGCTAGTGGAAATAATGACTCCGCTGTCATAGAGAAGTAGCAAGGGAATCCCTGTATTCTCTTCTGGCTTAGGCAATTCAACACAACTCTACGGCACTGTTCCAGACCCTAATGAAGAAGTGCTCCACGCTAGTATGTCAATGGCCTTACATCAAAATGAATCAACTTTAGGATAACAGATAGATACAGGCCCTCAAAAATGAGCATATCCTTTGGTCTCTGTTTCTGCATTCTTAGCTACATCAAGTCTGAATTTAACCTCGATGATTCTTTTCAGCCATGAGGACTGACGAAGGACATACATGTGCCTGAAGGCATGTGCACACACACACACAAACACACACTTCAAGTAAGGAGTCGTGGAGCATCCATTGCTAACTTAATTCAAACAGAATCAAGTGACACGTCTTACGCTTTTCCTTTCTCTTCCTGCGTGAGTTCTTTCCACTTGAAAACACACCGGGCCCCAGAAAGCTCACAAACATGGTATGCTTCCATCTTAGGAAGCTTGAGTCAACTTATTTTCTAAAGTACTTTTTTGGTTATTGAAATCCTAATGGAAAAACCATTAAAATAGCCATTTTGAAATGTGTGAATTACATAAACTGTATATTTTGCCTCTATTACTAGAAAGCAATTAATGGATCTTGGCTTTTATTCCTGTTCCTCTGCATTGTGCATGTTAGATATTCTGTGGAACTGAAAACCAGTGATCGCTTAAGCCAAAATGTTTGTGAGCATAAACTGTGTCTTTCTTCAGAAGGCATATGGTACTGTATTCTGGTAGACCACATCATCTCCATGACACCCCTTGCTGTTTCCTAGTTGTGCTTTCTTAAAGATTTGTTGGGGGTTGTGTTTTGTTTGGAAACTTTGCAATTAGAAGAAAAAAAAGAATTAAGAGTCAGTATTTAATTCAACCTGGATGTTTAAAAAAGCAGTTTAGAGGATGTGATGGACTGTTTCTTTATTCATTAAATAAAATTTTATTTATTCTCAATTAATTGTTGGGTTTGTTTTGTTTCGTGTTTTGGTCCCAGACTTTGCATGTGAGATGGGTCAGTTCTTGTTCTCAGTAGTTTTCTTTCAGCTCAAGTATTTTTTGGATACACTACCAGTTTGAAATTGCAGTCCAAAAGTCCTGTGTCAATTCAATAAAACACTTGTTAAAGCGTGCACCCACTAGTATATTGATGACCAGAGAGGGAATGAATGTTGGTCAATGAAGTTGGTCACATATTTACAGTCTTATATACACTTTGAAACTTCTTTCACCCCTAGGTAGCAAAAAAAGATATCTTTAGCGACGCCCAAGCAGAGAGCAGAGTCTAGCCAAATTCAGTCCAAAAACAGCACTTCACTTTTACTGTAAGATGGCAAAATTTAAGGGAACGGAGCCTTAATTGTTGAATCCTGCACTTCTATTAACCACAACTCAAATACACTCCATCTGTTTCATACCTAGCAGAAATTTTACATCTTCGTTAGTACAAAGGTCATCTTATTAACTAAGAAACTGGCTGTATTGGACGTTAAGGAAGATAGCCTAATCCTTCTTAAGGTCTGCAAAGACAAAGAATGAGAAGTCAATATAATCAGTTTTTGGTAATGAGGCTAATGGCATCATAGCAGATATTGTTTAATTAAGTGGTTCTCAACCCTGACAGCCCATTAGAATCACCTGGGGGAGCATTTAAAAAATATCTATGCCCAGGCCTCACCTCAAAGCAGTTAAATCAATTCTTGACCTGGGAGCCCCAGGCTTGGTATTTTTTTCAAGACTTGCTACATGTGATTCTAATGAGCAGTCAGGGTTGAGAACCACTGGCTTACATGGCCATTCCCATCTTGATAGCCCCATTCATTTGTATATGGTTCTTCAAGACTGCTGACCCTGGGGTTTGGGACCCCAACCTCCAGCTGACAACTAGGGAGAGCCCACATATAACTAGTTGAACTGAAACCCTGCCTGAGTGTGGGTCTTCTTTTATTATTCAATGCCCTCTTTTAGGACCTCTTATGGCACATATTACTAGTACTACACTCTAGAAGCATTCAGCTCTACTCTGTGTAGGACTGCTTATTGATTAGTACATGGGTTCTTCTTGGCTGCCTACTCAAGGAAAGGATGGTGTTGAGAAAGTCTGGGTATGAGTAGGTGCTTGATAATATTTGTTGATTTATTGAGAAAAGGGAGCCCAGGTAATAGAATATTTTGGAATTTCAATTCTGTCCTGTTGTCAAACTAGAAAGAACACGAATTTTCAAAGGTGAACAGTATAGAATATTGTAGCAACTTTTAGGTTGCTTGGTAATCTAAACTCTATTATGTATGATAATATATGAATCTTAACTTCGAAAAGATTTTACACTTGCTTTATCCAAGCTCCTAATCCACAAACCATGATGGATTTCCCAACATACAGTTTGAGGAGTTTTATCAAAGATTGGATTTGATCACTGAGATCCATTTACTTTTCCTTCAAATGTCTTCCAGGAAAAAAATAGTACAGTGAGTAGGGTGGAAAGATTAGGGATTTGGTAAGAGCTAAATTGCTTCCAGAGATTGCCAAAACACAGAAACAGGCAGCTAACGGCATAATATTTAACAGACAGAATCCCATTCTTCTGAAGGAGTGGGAAGGGGAAAGGAGAGGCATGGGATTAGAATCCCAGCATTTTAATTAAATTGTTCAATTTCATTAAGAAACTGCTGTTAAGTTAATAACCAAAAAAGAAATATTCATTGAGTGTTTATTCTGTCTAAACCTCTGTACTAAAAGCCACAGAGATAAAGTGAAAACTACAGTTCTCTTTTACAAGGTATCTACAGTCCAGAGAGGAGGATGTGAACCCTACCTGAAAAAGGACTAATAATCTTAATACATTTTTGAGACTTTCTCTGATTAACACAGCATTTTTTTTAGCATTAATTTTCTTCATTCTCAAACTCTACAAACTTACTGGGGTTATTAATGAAGTATTTTAAGTCTAGATCAACAGATCATTGTGCCCAAATAGTGAGGAAGGCAGATACCCTGAGCCTTGCCATTAGCCCAAGTGCACACAGCACAGTGGAGCGTGACCAGAAACGGGTCCAAGCATCGTCACTTCTAGAGCTGTGTTGTCTGCTGGACTATAGCACCTTCTCAGAGCTGTTGAAGTCAAGAGGTTAAACATTTTACTCTAATTTGCGGTGAAGAAGCAAAGTCCTGAGCCTGACTCAGTTTCTTATTAACAGATATCAGAAGGAAAGGGAAATTCAGCATTAGTCTCTCATTGGATTTCTAGAGATAACACTTGTGATTTTGTAAGTTTTAGTTTATGGGCTAGGGAAGACACTTCCACTCATTACAAACCAAATGGATTTTGATAATTAGGGATAACAAAGAAAGTCAAATTTTTAATGGAGACTCTGTAGATAAATTGCAAATAGATGGCTGTGTCTGATGTTAGGCAGTGGAATACATAATAAAAGGGGTTGGGGGATGTCATTGTTGTTTTGTTGACTTGTGACAAGTTCCATATGCACAGACAACTTAGAGTCCTGCTTTTTCTAATTATTAACAAGACATTCTCCCAAACGCATGCAGTGCTGTTGACCACCAAGTCACTCTTTACATTAAAGGCCTGGTTTATTCATCCAACTGTTAAGCAAATTTATAAAAGTAATTCAAACCAATACCATACGTATTATTTTGCTCCATCTTGATTAGCCTTGATGGTAGTGAAGCTCTTATGGCTCGACTTGTACTGATTAAAAGGAAATCACTTCCAAAAGCAACATTTTTTATTTTTCAGTGTTTGTTTCCTATATAGGAACAAATATATATATTTGCAAGGAATCAGTAGTTAGTAATTGGCTTAATAAGGAAAATAAAATATTGAGGAACTGTATATCTAGTTACTTAAAAACTAAATATTTCAATTATTTTAATCTTTTAAAAAAACACGAACAATATATATTTCCAAATTGTAGAGAAAACTTTCAAATTAATTACTTGTACTTTCATCAGCTTGTCTTTTTTGACAAAGTATTATAAACTAGCTCGTTTGCCCATCAGTGGGATTAGGTTTAAACATTCCACATCTTTACTCAGGTAAGCATTCAATATCATCACCCCCAAATAGGCCTTTAGTGCCATCAGGAAACTAGCAGGACACTTGCCATGAAAAACAGACCCACGTTTTTATTTATATTTTACAAAATCTATATTTTAATAATGTATACACAATTTTAAAAAATACAGAGCACTCACGCCCATGTACTCTACCAAAAAAAATGTCTTACTACTTCATGCATGCACACACAGTGCACTAAGCATAAATGCATTTACACGACAGAAGGTAGCTCTGTTTTAAGCATACACAAGTAATGGATACTGTAACTTCACCGGAACAGGACAAACCTACAAAGTTTAAGAAAGTGATTATTTCTCTGAGGACTAAAACTGCAGTATAGCCTAATCCTATTTTTTCTTAAGATTGTTTTCCCTCAAAGTAGTCCAGAAAGGGGAGAGGGGGCATTATTTTCACAGCAATCAAAACCATCACAACATCCATTAATGAAATCTACCACCTACTGATAAGGATGAAAAAAGAAAGGCAATAAAAATCATTCGTCCATAGGACTGGTGATGCGAGTAAAAGTAACCTGAAAGTTCGCTAATTTTATTCTAAGAATGCATCGTAGGCCATCGAAAGCCCCTGCGGCTACTTGGGGGAAGGCTGCGGCTCCAGAGCGCGACCACTGGGCATCTCACCCCGGCGGGGCCGCGCACTCTAACTGGCCATCTGGAAGGGCTCGGGCGGGAAGCCGAAGAGCCTCTGGCCGTAGGGCTCGCTCTCTCCCGGCAGCTTCGCGCCCGCGAATGGAAGGTAGTGGTCTCGGCCGAAGTGCTCACAGTGGAGATTGACCCAGTCCCGCTCCGAGCCGAATCGCTCGGCCTCGGCCAGGATGCGGGTGAGAGCCATGATGTAGCTCAGCGCCATCTGCAGGGTCTCGTACTTGGACAGCTTTTTATCCTGGCCCCACTGGGGCACCACCCTGCGCAGCCGGTCGAAGGCTGTGTTGAGCCCCTGCATGCGGCGGCGCTCGCGCGCGTTGGCCGCTAGGCGCCTGCGCGCCGCGCTCTCCAGCCGGCCGGCCCCGGAGCACGTGCCCGCGCACTCGGCGCCACCCGCGCACGGGGCCGCGGCGCGCGCTCCCGCCGCCGAGTTGCTAGGCTTGCAGGACTTCATGCCAGGCGTTGAACGAGGGAGGCGCGGAGCTCACTCTCCCGCTAGGACCCGCGCGAGGGCTAGTCTGTGGAGCGGCTCCCCAACGTGACTCTTCTTGGGAAATAAGTCATACACAAAGCAACCCACGTGGAATCAAAGTTGACAGTGGGGAGTGCGGGACTCCGCCTTCTGTCCTACTGGATCACCAGATTGACGTCTCTTCACTTGCCAAAATTTAGGGGAAATTGAGATGCTGAAGAGAAAGTCATTTTCCCAACGTGAAGTTGAAAAGGTGAACCTTCTCGCAGCAGAATTTGGTGTGGCTGGTTACGGGAAGGCCTCTCAAGTCCTTTGGGAAAGCCTGAGACTTCTTTTCAGGAAGATGAAATCTTTCCGAAGCTCAGATAGGGAAGGAGCGCTTTTTCCGCAGTAGCTGTCGGAGAGTGCTGGATGAATCTTTGAAGGAGGAGAATTTATAGCAGAGGGCTGAAGGAAGGAACAGGTGGTGGCAGGTGGGCGGGCGTCCCTCGGCTTCCATCTCAGCACCTTCCTACCCTGGGAACTGCAGGGGGGGAACGCACAGCAAAATCCTGACATTACAGCCTTCATCTGTTGAAGTTTCTCCAAAGCTATGTCCAACACTAACTAACGCACCATCTGGAGTGGCCTGGCTGTCCCCAAAAGAATAACAAGGTGGGGGTGGGAGACAGCTTGGTCCATCTTTTCCCATCCCAAGATCAGCGGGCAGCTTATATATCAAAAACTTAACCGAGGTTTTAAAATTATTAGAAATCACTTGTGTGAACATGTTGATCTTGGAATTATGAGATATATCAGAAATTTAAGAAGATTTAGCTTTGTCAAGTTGTGTGACAATTTTACATAATGCTGACTGAATATACTAACAGTTTTTTTAGTTATTAAGTTGGGACGAATTAGCAGGTCCTAATATCCTTGCAGACCTGGAATTTTACTGTGCAAATAATTTACCCGTTTTCTACAGAATAATTTATTATAACATATCAAAAGATATTAATGTGTATATCAAAAATTATGTTATTCTAATTATATAATTAAATTGCATGAATTTGGATACTTAAGCAAATTAATTCAGAATTTATACTCCATTTCCCCTTACACAGGTTCATAAATGTTTTCAGGACATACATTGAGATGATAATCACTAAATTTTTTAATGTGACATTTAAATATAATAAAATCATAATGCACATATATGTGCAAAATGGAAACATCTAAGTAATTTGTGAGGTTTTTAAAAATAATTCCTAATGGGAGATTTTATTCCCCATCTCGTAGAACTGTAAGTATTTTATATTACTTGGATGTTTCAGTTGTGTCAACTGACCTCAGGAACAATAATGAAGCATGATTTCCCCTAGTATTGATAATGATGAATTGATTTATACAGAGAAACCATTACCTTGATTCTCTCATCTCAGCTTCTTTCTAGCTCTTAAGGAAGAGTAAAGTAGCAAAGAGACCAGCTCCAAATAGATTCAAGTCAATCATTTCTGGATTCTTTGGGAAGATGCTCTTTCTCCTTTTGGAATATGGATTATGTTGGCATTGTTCTCAGATATTTTTGTTTAATTAAATTATCAACAAGCTCTCACAAATCAGGAGTTTTTTAACTGTGTCTTGCTTCCCCCACCATTGCCTTAGACTGAAACCCCATTGTGAGTGCCCTGACTCCAAGTCCTGTCTTCCCATAAATAGTTCATTAATCCCCCGCTGAAGCAATGACAATGAAATGAAGTTGAGTTACATGAAGACAATAGGATGCAATTGAACATTAATGATCTCCAGCATGACAGATGTTGAACACAGACTTTTGCATGGAGCCACTCAGCTCCGTTACTCTGAGTCATAACAGTCTTGGTCTGGCACAGCAGTCCTGTGACAGGAAAGACTATGTTATTTAGTCATCAAAATGTGAAATACATTTTTTTGAGTGTTCGTGGAAATCTGCCCTATTAATGCTATTATTTCTCATGTTCATTTATCTCATCCCTTGCCCCCAAGGAGCCTCCCCTGTGCTACTCTTTGGAATATTTTCATACAAAACATACTGTGCACTTGCTCTGGACACTATTGACCGAAGTGCTAATGAGATGCATGCTTTTGCCGGCCATGTATTCAGGGTTGGTGAGATTATAGCCTGTACATCAAGAGAATCAAAAGCATAGCTTGAAGAGAAAAAGGAAACATAGCAGTATACACACAGCACAGCTATATTAGAACATAAACCAGCAGATATCTGTGATATGAAATTGATCCAAGGATAGAGAGTATTGTTGCAATAAAGGGCGTTAGAAGGTATATAGTAATTCATTTCCCAAATGTGTTCTGAAGGACAATTTATTAGTACTACAAAGATGCTTCTGGGGAAAAAGGTTCCATTGTCAAGTAAGTTTGGGAAACATATCTGCTATCTCCTGCTTGGAGAGTCATGAAGCAAAACTGACATAGTAAAGTTTCTAAGAAGTCCTGGAGTAAAGAAACATTGATTTCAGTGTTTCCTAGACCTTCTTGAACACAGAACCCTTTTTTCCTAGAAAGGCCTATTAACAAACTTCCTTGGAACACACTTTTTCAAACCTGCTCTAGTACCTTCCATTTATTTTATAGAGGAGGAGACTGAGATCCAGAGACTAAACACTATGCTCAAAGGCACCAAACAACTTAATGACTAAATTAAGACAAGAAATCAAATCTTCTACATCCTTAGCTTTTAGAGGCTTTAAAATTATGAGATCAATTAATACAAGCCCCTCAGTTTAATATGGGGCAGCTGAGATCCACCAGCGACTTCCCAAAGTCAGACAAGTCACTAGTAAAATTTCAGGAATAGAGTTAGAAATTTTGTGCTTAAAGGACAGTGTTGTTTGTTTTATAACCTTAGTGTCTAGAACAGTGCCTAGAAAATAATAGGTAATAAGTGACCCAGACTGAATGGCTGGAAACATAAATTAGATAAATGATAGTTAGGTAGATGCCAATCAGAATGAGTGCATTCCTGGTGAATAACCCATTCAAATGATTTACAATCCCTCACCTTGTAAAGAACACACACTAGCTCCACATTTTGAATGCAGAATGGATTCTTTCTTATCAAAAAACACATCCATAGCCATTTGAGCCAGAAGAACAAGCATGTCAGACTAATTTCCACAGTGTTTCTATACTAAGGGCATGATCCCACCAGGTGAATTGGCAGTTACTGTATGTCTGGGGATTGGCCAGAAATCAAAACTGGCAGATGGAGATGGAGGAAGGGGAAAGGTAGAAGGAGCTTACACCTGTAGGAGCAGAAAAATAGGAGAAATATTATTTTAGAGGTAAAAGATAAATCGCTGGAAATTATTACATAAAATGTGTAGAATAGTTTCAAGAGTAAACAACCCTTTATTATCCAATACCATATTTAATTTTTAGAATGGAAACTCTCCAAAGAAATACACAATTAAAAGAGCGAGAAAAACACTTAGCAAAAAAATGTTCATTCTGAAATTTGCAGAGAAAAATATGGAGAATGAGAAATGGGGCTTCCTTATGGAAGGGGTAGCAGTTGGGGGCTCTGGAAGATAAAGAAATTTTAAGATTAAACCGTGAAATATTAAGAGGTAAACCAGCAAAAGACAAAGGAACGATGAAGTTGAGTTCCACTTACATTTCATTAAAGACCAGAAGTGTGAGGTGTTAAAAGTTCCTGTAACTTTATAATGTGCTATGTAGTTATTAAGGGGGGGACAAAACCCGCAAAAGAATTTATATGTTTAGAGAAAGGAAGGGAGAAGAAAAGTCTTGCACCTCTGTCCCCTGCCCCTCAAAGGTCTGGGAAGAGAAAACCTGGTAGAAGGCAGAACTAAGAAGGGACAGAGACAAATGTCTCCCCGACAGGGCCAAGAGAAAGATGACAAAGATGGGGAGCCCTGTCTCAGGCCCCAGAAGTGATCACTCACCTCCAGAAAGTACAGGCTCAGGTGAGTCTCCAACCCCCAGTCACTTCACACACTGCTTGAGAATTCTGGTTTGGCAATCTGATTTAGCTTCTAGTCGCCATTAGCCAGACTGACTTGCATGATTTGGACTCTGTGTTCACTCTTCTCGGTAGTGGATCTCAGCCTCTTCTTAGAGGCCGGGCTAAGCACCTTCGTCCAAGTCAGTTTTGAATCCTGGATCTGCTATCAACTAGCTGTGTGCCCTTGCACAAATCACTTCTGTTTCTCCATCTGCAAAGTGGAATCCTAATACCTACCTCACAGGGCAGTAGTGAGCATTAAATGAGACTGTACCTGTAAAGGACTCTGCCTGGTCCCCAAGAAAGTCACTCTTTAAGTGACGGCTAATACTACATGTTCTGAATAGTTTTTACAAATGATAATGAAAATGAACTCATCATCAGTTTCTGCAGCCTTTTTGAATTTAATGAATAATTTTTGAACCTTTTACACATAAAGCTACAGTTAGTCATGATATAAATCCCAGCTGTGTGACCTTGGGCAACTTACTTAACCTTTCTGTGCCTCTTACCTTATCTGTAAAAGAGGGTTAATAATAGAAGCAATCTGATAGAATTGGTATGAGAATTGAATTAGTTACTCTTTGTAAAGCTTTCAGATCTATGCTTGGCATAAAGTTAAATGCAATATATGTGCTTGTTTAGATAAACGAAATGACCTGTTGCAATTATCCAGGATGTAGATTAGCCACCCTCCTTCTGCTCGTTTTTGCTTTATCTCCCTGCTCTTCAGTGCTTGTCCCGTAGAGTGAGCAGGGACAGGGAGAGGAGGATAAATTCAAAGGAATTCCTTTTGCCTTTGATATTGGAGCGATCTAAGTTTGAAATATCAGAGACAGAAGCCAAAAAAAGGCTGCTCAGGGCCTTACTGGGTAGTAAATTTGATGGTTTCGTTGTAGTCTGACATTCAGTCTGACAGTTACAGACACACATTTTGAAGTGTTAATTTTCAAGGGATGCTTCACTTTTCCAGTAACTGAAATATTTGCATTCACCATCCAGGGCCCTTCTCTTCCTAGTACTGAGGTATTTGAGAAGACAAATTAATAATCAGGATGTTTCTTTTCATGAACATAGAAGCAGAACAAAGGGAATCAGTCTTAGGGTTGTGCTGGACTGTTCTATGGTACACTTGGCCTGGAAGCTGTGTTTTTCAGAATGCCCTTCCCTGTGTGGTTCCCTGTGTGGATTTGAGTTAGGCAAAAGTGAAGTTGCATGAGCTTTTGGAAGCAGAAATGAAGCCACTGTAGGGGAGAAAGACAATTCCTCTACCCTCTAGGTCCTTCTGGCTGGTCTAAGAATCAAATTGACATGAGACAGAATAACAGGAGAAAATAAAACAAAGTTTAATAACATATATACATGAGAGAAACCCAGGAAAACTGAGTAACTCACCAGAATGGCTGAAGCCACCACCTTAAATACCA